CACTTCATTCCATTGGGTGTGCAGCTGTTTACGCAACGCAGAAAAAAGCACTATTCATGTCTACTTATGCAGTGCAGTTATTTTTTCAGTGAGAAAAAATGCAGAAGAGCTTAAGATACACGAAAAGTCGCCACTCACCGCTCTCCCCGCCCAGATTTTTCGCGTTAATCACCTTGATCAGCAGAAGGTTGCTCTTCTGCCTTTCTAACTGAGAGGTTGCCTGAAATGTACAGCGATCAAAGCACAATTTGCATGAACAAGAGTTTTGCAACGTCACAGATTCAACTGAAATGTAAAGTCTAAAATGGAACCAATTAGATATTGTTCACAACGCAATGAATCATTTACAATAACTAGGTTATTCTGAGACTGATTGAGAAACATTCTCAGCTCAGAGTTACACAGTCGATGGCTGACGGAAATTAAATCAAACTTGACACTAAATGGCGCTAATAACACTAGTCATTAACATCTTACTGCCATGGAATTCACTTTTAAGTTTGCATTCACATTATCACGGTGCCAGAAGAAAACAATAAGGGAAGTTTTCGTTATAATTCACATGAGAAACGACCCACGGAGAGACAGACAGGCAGTCAGACAGGAAGATGACAACTAGGTTTGTGGATGACAGCGAATATTGCGCAGAGACAATACGGTGACTGTTGTCAATGCTCAGTGCTGCGATCACAACGCTGAATTTGTATAAATCGACGGTGGCCTTGTGCATCAAGTATCTGATTTAAGCCCTGAAACTAAATGTCAGTGTAACGCTGTCTGATACTGAACTACGATAATCGTTTCCAAACTAATAAATTTTTCATTATCATTCGATTGCTGCGTGATTATGCAAGGTTAATATGTCAGCTGGAGTCGTACGGTGGCTATGGCTAAATCATTTGGTCAATCTACATCACAGGCTGATAGTCATCTGCATCAATCAACCGTTAGTCATATATACTATCACAGGAAACGGTCAACGCGTAAAATTCAAATTCAACTCCAAGGTTGACAACTGCGTCGTATTTCGCTCACATACACTTGTTAGCCGTTGACATAAACATGATGGGCTAAATGAAATAGTTGCAACAAGAAATGAACTCCGTCCAGCTACAAAGCGGCAAGGTAACAGTAGACCAAAAAATCGTTCATACTCACAGTCACAAACCGAGACACCACCATCATTTCGTATTTGAAAACCCAACTCGTCCCTGAGAGTCTAACAACTTCGATGAATACCCACCCAAATCGAACATTTCCGATT